TGATCGTTTGAAACCACGAAAAGCTTGCAAACACGCGGCTAGTGCGAGCCGACATACGCGAAATCGCGATTCCGGCCAAACATGGTCTCGGAAAAGAGGTCACAGGTCAAAGGTCATTTGGGTCAGGGTCATGAAATTTTCAGGGTAGGTGTAAAATTGATCAATACGAGGGTACTGAAAGTTTCGTCGCGATCGGCCGCTTTTTACGCGAGTTATTCGCGAAAAACCATGGGGGGGTCCATCCGACCCCCCCCCTACACATGCGAGGGTTAATCCCATGCAGGAAGTTCCCATACATAGGAGCACACCCGTAGCCGCGTGCATAGAGTATCAGTGGTCTGGGCGTCCAAATGGGTCCAATTGGATGGGGTCAGCCCGGATGAATCTCTAGGGTGTCCGCTCAGACCAATGCCTCCCCTAATTCCTGTCATCGTTCTGACTTTGAACTGGTCTCGTCAGACCGAAAAAATAACCAACAAAAGAAAAATCCATCCTATCCCTATGGTCATGAAATGGTGTACCTTCATGTAATTGTCTGCCGAACAAATCTGACCCTAGAAAGTGTAGCACATCAGGAGCGACAGGACATGTTGCCTCTACATACTTCATCACCTTTAAGCACCCCTTGCACACCTCCAAGGCCGGTTAGCCGCAAGTGTGACCGGCACGCGTGTCACTCGCCCCTCGATAATTGAAACCCCTGTCGTCGTATGTTAGCCGCCTCGCAGCCCTGATGGAGGTTGATTGGAACCTTGTCGCCTCTCCTCTCCATTTCAATACATGATGCGGCCACCCGAGTACCGTGTCGTCGTTAGGGGCGAGTGACGACTCCCTCAATAGGGATTAGAGTCGACAGTGACTCCGTCGCCGAGGTCCCCGACTCGCGTTATCGTTATCAGAGGCAGTGTCGGCTGTGCGCCATCGCCATTCCACAGTGCAGATATTGTAATACGGGGTCATTAGGAATGCGAGATATGTAAATTTCCCGGTCATTGACGCTCACGCACCTCCCCAACGCACACCCGGGACTTGGTATGGGCAATGAATACTTGCCCTGAAAATGAGAGAGAGAGAGAGAGAGAGAGAGAGAGAGAGAGAGAGAGAGAGAGAGAGAGAGAGAGAGAGAGAGAGAGAGAGAGAGAGAGAGAGAGAGAGAGAGAGAGAGAGAGAGAGAGAGAGAGAGAGAGAGAGAGAGAGAGAGAGAGAGAGAGAGAGAGAGAGAGAGAGAGAGAGAGAGAGAGAGAGATGGCCATCTTCCGCCCTTAGTCTATAGATGAATCCACGCAGATGTCGAGGACAACCGCGCCCTACCTCCTCCTCACCGCCACATCACGTCGGAGTGCACGGGTTCGTGTGACGTACATTTCAGTATGTATGTCGGAGTTGGAGCTCAGTCGGAGTCAGGGAGCCAGAGTGGTCACTGCAGGGGGAGACTGACAGCTAGAGGGAAGGGGAGACTGGAGTGACACCAGCTGTTTCAACGGGGCTCGGTCCACTGACACCCAGCCGGGGAGAGGTCATCCAATACTTCCTGTCCTCTAAACACGGCGCGAACTCGATGCTCGCAATGAGAGAGACTCATGGTTCGTTTTGGGGTATTGTATTCCAATTCATGGTAAGGAAATGTGATAGAAGTTAACGTCAACATTCGTTCATTTTGTTTATTTGTGCCACGACTAAAAGAGAGGTTTTGTAGATGTTGAAAGTCGAGGCCCATCCTTGTTTAATAAAGCATGCCACTCGTGAGAGATCAGAGAAGTGAAGGATAGAGGCAAAAATTCAATGCAAGTTCAAAGACAATTCTAGTAGTGCTGAGCTGCTTAGGCCTGTAGTCTTCTCTAGCACTACCTCAACATCTATCTCAGTCGACTTATTCCCGTTGCTCGAATGCCCTGCCAAACATTTATCTTACCGACTTTTCCACATGACAATATGACCGTCACCATCTACCACATCTGCCGAGGCTTCTTACCTCTCTCACCCCATGCAGTGTTTTCAATAGTCCCCAGCACAGACTGCACAGACTCCCCAGACTGCTAACCGGAGGTCTGCACGGCTGGATGCATCCACGGGGCGCACAGACGTCAGACTCGGGGCTGATTTAGCTGAGAAACATGCGGACGCGGCCCCAGCAGAGGATAGAGTGTCTGCCACGGGTGAGTTGTGATGTTTGCAATGGACGGGGAGTGCCGGAGATGTGAGGCAGGGAAGTGAAGAAAAGAGAAATGTTATGAAGATGAACGATATTATACTTGTATAGCGAATTTTCAGATGTACTGCTGCATACTATTCGGTGTCACTAAAATAATGAGCTCTGAGCTCCGACATGCGCAGTGTAAGGCATGTGCCTTTCGCATAGCATGTGCCGAGGTAAAAAGATACCTAAGTACATTTAAAGATACCTAAGTACACACTGCCCTGTCAAGACAGTCAGGTTCCGCCGCCCCGAGTGTCCCTGGCTCAGCGGGAGTGAGGAGCTGCGCGAACTGCAGTCCAGGCGCGACGTCGCTCGGCGCGCGCGTGACGTCACGGGATCTGCCGATGCAAAGCAGCGATACAGGGCCCTCAAGAGGGAGTTCACCGGTCGGCTGAGAACTGCCAAAGCCGACTTCTTCAAGGCCAGTCCCACCGAGACGTCGAAGAAAACCTGGAGCAGACTGAAGAAGTACGCCATTGCCAACAAACCTTCCAAGTCTGCTGACGTTATGGACCCGACCACTGCAGACCACTTTAACGAATACTTTGCCGCTGTGGGCCAGCGTGTGGCCGCAGCCGTGAGCGACGAGCCTGGCACTGACCTGCCGCTCCGGCTACCGAGGGTGGTCAGCGGTGCTTTCCGTGTCGGACCTGTCACCCTGCCAGACCTCAGCCTAGCGTTGCAGCGCATGAGCAGCTCGAGGGCGGTGGGAGCTGATGGTGTGTGTCTGTCGGTCATTAGACGATGTTTTGCGGTTGTAGGTCCCCATCTATTGCATATTGTTAATCATTCTCTCACCACCGGACGTGTCCCTCTCATGTGGAAGTTAGCAACAGTGGTGCCATTACATAAGGGAGGTTCGGTGACCGAGCCATCCAACTATAGGCCTATTAGTATTCTGAGCGTCGTTGGCAAACTTGTGGAGAAGGTGGTCAGCACGCAACTTTTAGAATATGTTTCCAGTCATCATATTTTAGCTGACTCACAATATGCATATCGTCCCAATCATTCTACCGAACACGCAGTGATAGACATAGTCAGTCATATTTATAGCAACATCGACAGCGGCATGGTCACTGCAATTAGCTCCACTGATTTGTCCAATGCTTTTGATTGCGTTAATCGTTCTGCTCTTTTATCGAAGCTCGAGTGCTACGGCATTTCCCCTCACTGGTTTGCCGACTACTTTACTGACCGCCACCAGATCGTTAAAGGCGGAAACGCACCGAGCCTCGAGGTTGCGTACGGCGTGGTCCAGGGCAGCATCGTGGGGCCTCTGATGTTTCTCCTGTTCACGAATGACATCCAGTGTTACGTATCTGCCGCGTGTAAAATCATATGCTGATGATATGCAACTTCTCCACACATCGCTCCCATCGGTCTGTGATCTAGCACGATTGCGCTCATGTGTCGAGACTGACCTGGCCACAGTCTCAGCATGGTTTCGTCACAACGGCATGAAAATTAATCCATCTAAAACAGAGTTCATTCTCATGGGCACACCCTCAAATACTCGTAAAGCTGCCGAACTGACCGTCACTTTTGGAGCTTCCCAGTTATCCTCCGCAGAGAGCATCAAAATTCTCGGAGTTCATATCGATAGAAACCTCACCTGGCAGCCACAGACATCTAACGTAGTTCAACGCAGTTTTGGCTGTCTCCTGGCAATCAACAAACTGAGACATGTGCTTCCCACTGCGACTTTAAAATCGCTAATCGAGTCACTTGTTTTTCCGCACATCAGATACTGTTTACCAGCCTGGGCTCCGATCACAGCAGCGCAACGTCAGCGCTTGGAAAAAGTTATCAACTTTGCAGTTAGAGTTGTCACCGGCCTTCGCAGGCGTGATCACGTGACTCCATCCCGAAGGCAGCTAAATTGGCTAAGCTTTGGTGAAACCGTCACCCTTCGGGACTGCACATGCGTGCATCGCATCATTAACGTGCCCGACGGACCGCAAGCTATACGGAGTCTCATCAAACGCCGGTCTGAAATATCTCAGCAACGTACCAGGGCCACATGCGACGAAACCATGCTGCAGACTAGTGCAGAAAAACACCCCCGTCTAGAGTGTGTGAAAAAAGCGTTTCCCTATCGGGCTGTAAAAGAGTGGAACTCTCTTCCCCCTGCCACTCGGCAGTGCAAGTCTCTCAATGACTTTAAGAAAAAGGTTCTGTCTTTCATTGTGTAGCTGATCTTAACCACTGACTCTATGACATCATTTTTATCGTTTTTCGCTTTTGCATGTGGGTTGCACTCGTACCCATGTGTTCATACCAAATGTGTTTTTGCGTGTACTTACCATTTTAATCACTATTCTTGTATTTTATTGTATGAACTGTCATAAGTCTCGCCCATGTACTGACGCGGCGCTCTAAGAGCCACGATGTGGATATCGCCAAGAACCGCAATAAATAAATAAATAAATAAATAAATTTTCCCACACTTGCTGTGCGAATTCATGCATTATCGTCTTCTGTTTACAAAGCCCAGCAATAACGAATATCAATTCCCATCGTCCATGATCAAACTTCCGGCTCAAATCATTACACAAGTTCATCATCTTGCACTCACGTGTGCACGGTGCATGCACTGCAGTGTGATTTCAGGCAATCCTAATGATAAGGCAACTGCAGACCCATCCTGTAAGGTCGGGCAATGTTTCCAGTTCCTGTCAGACATCACTGTTCTTCGGGGTCGCTCTTTCGCTCCAGGCGCTGCGAAACGAACCAATCATGAGCCGCCGTTGGGGCTGGAGTCGTTGGCGGCGGTGGCGGACTCGGTGGCGGTGGCGTTGGCGTCAGTTTGAGGTGAGCAGTGGAAGGGGAGGCCCACGGCGCGCCGCCGGTGAGACGCCAGTAGTGTGCGGCAGAGCTCGGACTGGGCTCGAGCTTGGGTTTGGTGCGGTTGGGCTGGAACTGAACTGGGGCGCATGTCGCTCTGACTGGACTCAGTGTTGAGATAGTGCAAACCTGTGGTCTTGGAGGACATGGAGATCAGAGAATTCTGAGGACCGGGAGTGATCTTGATCAGATATTAGGTGAGTGCTGCCTACGAAGTCATTATTTCAGGCTTACAATGTTTTCTTGGAGCTGCTGAATTTTCATGGGTTCAGTGTTCAAGCATGCAACTTTGTGGTATCGACAATAATAACCTATACGTGCAATCTAACAACATCAAAAAAGCATGATATTAGCTTCCGTAATTAGCTGAAATAACATTATTTTCAGTATGATAGTATGCTTTACTGAAACGAATTTTAGTTTTAGATATAGTTTTTCCTTTATTTGTCCATTAATGCTAACTAGAGATGTCAATCGGATACCAACTTTTTGGTATACCGATACCAAACCAATACCAACTTGGCATTTGGTATTTCAATCCTAATATGTTTGGTATTTTGTTGGTATTAAAAAACCACTAATGCAAAAGAGGCTGACAAATTGGTAAAAAGTTGGTATTTTCCTCATTCTCCAAAGTTGGTTTGGTTTCGGTATATCCTCACGGCTTTTCTTGGTATTTGGTTTGGTATCGGTATTCCGATTTTCTGTAATTGACATCATTAATGCGAACCGTATATAACCGTATATAACCGTATATGCGAACCGTATCAAAATGTTGTTGCTTATGTCTCCGATGATACATCGACTGACATGAAACAGCAAATAACGACACTCAGTCGCCCTGGCTGCTTATTTCCTGACCATTCAGTCCTGATGCAATAGGTGCCCACGTCACAACGCTATCAATCACAGCGTCTCGATGCCTTTTGACGTTAAATACCAAGGTTCAAAGCAAGCACGCCGTGCTCTGTGTCACGCCTCACATGTAACGTCCGCTACATACACCAGGCTTTGACCTGTGGCATTCATAGGGTCCGCCCACCACTCGTTCCTCATCCTTCCCGCATCGTCCCTTTAAACCTGCCGATGGGGAGGGAGGCAACTCGCAGGGGCGATAATTGAAACTGCAAATGGTCCCTGTCCGGCGCCCAGATGGGCACGCTCCCCTGTCCTTCCACGAGCCAACCCTTCCCCAGACACGGCAGACGCTGCCTCAAACACCGCCCGACTCAAATTGCACTGCGGTGCCGGCTCGAAAGGGAAAACGTCAGCATTATCCCCTGATGACGGGCTGGGTCTCAAGGGAAATCTGCAGAGATGCTACCATAAACAGCGCTTCAGCTTGTAAATGAACGCCAGCTTTTTCATTATTTATCAAATTCAAAACAAGCATGACGCATCGTGTTGATTGATCTACTGTTTGGCGTGAACCTTTTTGTGTGTTACATGGTTGATGTCTTGGATACACTGTGTAAAACGAACTTTTTGTGAGATCTTATTGGCAAAGAAATAAGTGCTGATAATCATGATTATATATAACCAATGTGATAGTCACGGATTGAGTGCCTACTAGACCCAGGAAAGAACATTATCTAGAACAGTAGCGGCGGAACACCTTCAATTAAGGGGGGGGGGGGCACTGCCGACTTTTGGTCCCATTCTTTCCATGCAACGCCCATAGGGCTAATGTTAAAATGTCAAAATCAAAGGGGGCACGGTGCCCCGGTGCCCTCCCCGTTCCGCCGCCTATGATCTAGAATGAATGCAGCATGATAAGGCGATGCAAAACATTTCTGAGCACTTTCGCACGCTTTAACAGCAGGTTTCTATTCTGTTCCCATAAAGCACAAGACACAGCCGCCTCAGCTTGCAAGTTTCAATGGCTAACGGCAAATTGAAACAAATGTGTGGGTCGGTCAGCAGCCAAAACAAAAATGAATAAGATGTTCTCGACATGTAAAGGGGTTTGATTTCAGACTTACGACCGTTGTCCAGTTAGGCAACTGGCCGGATTGGGTGCGCCCCTCGGCGTATAAATAACGCCGTGGAGACGTGGACACGAGAACAGTAGCTAGATGTAACCGAAACCTGTCCGCACCTGACAGAGATGTGATGTTTTTCTTTCTACGGGTGGTGTTAACCTCACTTGCCCTGCACTTCACTGTTTTATAATGCGACGTGAATAGGCATGGGCTTATCATAGTGCAATAAATCACGATGGTTTTATGATGAGAGCTGACTGCTAACATGGGCATAATCATGACAAAAATTAATCGAGCACACAGAACATTACGTTTTACTGGATAATCGCTTGATTTTAGTGGTACGCTTTGTGAGCTTTTAACGCATTGATAAAGCTACGCAGCCATAAATGTGTTATACCGGTCATCAAAACCTTTAGCAATAATCTCATTTTCGTCGTTTTTTTTTTTTTTTTTTGTTCTGAAGCTTTTGTTTTTCAGCCTAGATGCTCGTATATAAAAGCACGTCGATATCTGCATCTGATTAATAGGGTAGTTTCAAATTACGCCGATACTGAGTTTGGCGCCGCCACCAAAGTAGGGCAAACAACTCCTGAAAACAACATCTTTAATTTGCGGGATCGATTGCTTCAGTCCGATCAGTTTGACTTTCTAATAACAGGGAAAGAGGGACTAGCATCAGAATGTTTTTTTTTTAAGCCCTGACAGTTTAGCATATGTCTTCGACCAATATGTGTGTAAGTATACATTGTCTGGTACATCAAGTAATCGGATACTCAAAATTGTATTACCCCAAGCAATGCTGTCGGTGAGTGTGAAACGATTTAACATATTGCCCTACATTTCATTTTAGTCAGATCTTGCCACAAGCACCGCATTGGTAACATCTACCAACCAAATCCAAGTCTTACAGACTGCCTTGCACTTCCCTTGATTACGCGCTCGGATTTTCTCTGCGGCTCTTGACTTTCTTCCATGAAAGTGCATTGGACTTCCCGAGCCCTCCCTCCCGCACGCCCGATCCCCGAGCTCCAAAACATACAACCCGTCCAGCGGCGGAAGCGCGCTTGTTATCTTAGAGGCTTGACGGCTCAGGATGAATCACCGGAGTGAGATCAGTCGGTCTGAGCCGAGCCCCTCCCACCACTGTCTGCCGTGACATCGAGGAGGGGACCGGATACACCCCAGCCCGGATCCTGGGTCGGCATTCCGAGCCCTCAGCCCTTCAGGTGCGTTCTTGGCGACTTTTCTCAGCCGAGCGCCGTAAGGCGACAAGAAGACCTATCTGACCCTCATCGGATGTTTTCTTACCCTGCGTTGGAAACGTAAACCAAGCACTTGTGGAAGGGTTGGCTGGTGTGTTTATTTTCGTTTTGCGTGAAGGCGAAGAAGTCGGTCCGCCCCTCGGCTGTCGGAATATCGTACCTCCCATGGCGTGTTCGTTGGCATGCGACAAAATGCGTAGGCCGGCGCCGCTTTGCACGGTGCCGTTTGTGATTTTGAGGTATGTGGAGTAACAAAGGCGTCGTGACGTTTATTCGTCCACGGCATGTGCATGCGTAATTTAATTCACCTATGGATCCTCAAAGAGGTGATGGTTCGCGTGAACTAACGCCTCAGCTGGGCCGTTTTGCTGGCAGCTTTGCATGCGCTGCGCCCATCCACGGGGGCCCGCCGATTCATAGCTTTTCTTGGAGCTGGCAGCCTGGCTGACGGGGGCGAAGTGTTTGGAGGCAGACGTCAGTATAAGAAAGCCGTGGCACATGACATGACGTAGAGTGCTCTGCCCTGACGTGAAACACCACCTCCATCATGTCCACAGACATCAACTGCACTGCTCCCATGCTGCGCCGCCTCCTGCTGTGTCAGCTGTTGTCTGTTTTCAGCCAGGTATCACGTGTCTCATGCCAGTGACCTGTCGGGCTCATGACCTGGCACAGGCGGTACCGCCTGATGGTGCACCCTCTTAGTCACCATCAACGAGACACACAACACCACCACACAGTCAGCATGTGTCGGGCATGCTGACAGGCCCTCTACTCCCACCACCAGTTCAGATAATGGGTCTTCAGCTGAGGTGGGGATATATGCAACTCAGTCGATGACTCACTCTGTATCAATCAGGCGAACCGCACCGCCACACCCGATCCGTGTCTCTCCCCGCGCCGCGACATGACGGGCCGTAACCGACGCCAGAAAGAACACGCCAAAAGAGTGTCGCCCGTGTAAACAACATGCTCGTTTTTCCTTCACCGAGCAGGAAAGGGCGTGACCACGTCGTGTCTAATGAGGCTGTCTGCCGGTGGGAGCTGGGATGCGACGTGAGCGGACCGTTTGGCGCTGCTTACAACGTCGGGACCGGCGGAATCCGTGAAAACATTTGCGTGACATGGCGTGACAGTCGATGTCGCTGTCTGGGAGAAATGTCGATCCGTCACCGGGCGACGGCTGCCGGCGGGGCGAGGGTTGCGGTCGCAGGGACCCTCCCCCGGGGCAGAAATAGAGGGTGGTATGTGTGGGCGCCTCTGTTGACGGCGAGTGGAACAATTGAGCGCTTCATTAGCTGGGTATGGATGGTTTCTCCCGACGCGTCGGAGCAGTTCAGGTATGAGGCTACATCGCACGCAGTGAGCGGTAGATGGATTATCCATTTATACAGGGTGATTTTTTTTAACTGTTAAAAAGTAAACGTCAATGGTGGTCCCTAAATCGAAAAATCGCGTGCAAAAAAGCAATGCACGTGATAGATAAATCTGGGACATTTTGTATGGTGTCATCATTTGTCCCTTTTGACCGACGGCCTCGGCCCCAATGGAGCCTGAAAATGTCCCACCAATCGGGCACGCATGGTCCACCGCCGTTCAGTAAGGAACGACACAAAACGATGATTTTGAAGCATTGAGGCAGTTCGAAGCATACGATGATCAAGGAGATACCTCAGAAAGACGTTAAAAAACGCATGAACAAGCTTGTAGTCATAAATAACCTTCAAACAGTCCATCTGGCGTATGAGCAGCTTTTGAAGAATCAGTCTCCAGGGAGAAAGAAAAACAGCGAATCAGACACCATCAGGGCCGCCAGTATCAAAATCCTTGACCTGCCCTCCCTAAACTTCTAGTTTTTGGGCCCAGCTATGGCAGATATAACAAGAAAACAGTGGAAATATCTGGCAGAGCTGAAAATGGGCGATAGGAGCCTTTTCAGTCCGCCTAATGAGTATGGGAGTCCATGGTGCTGTTCAACACGTGCCCAGGCGGGCTGATTCGTGTCGGCAAAAGAGGGGGTAACTTCAAGCACAAGTAAAATACACGATGGACGTTCCTTTGCATCGTGTCCGCATGAAATCAAAATGTCCCAGCATGCTTTTCATCCTGGTATACCTATAATTTTGCAAGATATATTTGTATTTTAACCCCACTAGACCTCATTGCTTTTTAACAAGTAAAAAAAATCACCCTGTAGACGGAACGCTGATGGTAAATTCTTCTCACGGAGTTGGAAGGCAGCGGACAAGAGTGATGCGATCGAACTGAGCTTAAAACAGGTGCCTTTTCTAAGTAGATAATGAGGGATTTAATTAAAAATGGGTAGTTTTGTCGTGAGTTTTCTCACCAGCTTGGCTAAAGAATAACACTAGTGGCCAGTGGGCATGGAACAAGTGGTGCGGTTTCATTACTCTCTAATGTCTAGCGCATGAATGAATGAAACTGGATTTGATTTACACACCTTCATTGCGCTTATGATTTACATAGTGTTGAAACTTCGAAGTAATGACTAATGACCATTGTGATGAACTACCAGCTCAACCACAATACCTGAGCTTCGATCAAGATATCGTTTTAACAAAAATGTGCACTTTTCGTTCATCCAGTATCAAATGTGACTGACACCTCGCCACACAATCCTTCTCCCCACCATCATCCACTCAATCGGCGAAAATCCCCGGCCGCAAACTCTCTAACTCACTTCGGACTCTCAACTCCCCGGATTGGTAGAGATGAGTTGCTTTATTGATGAGCCGGTGATGCGTTAGGAGTACCCAAGCTGTTATTTCACCGGAAATATGACTTTATCTGACACAATGCCTCGCCGTTGGAGTTGGAGCATTGCTTTCCGTTGTATGTCAGTCTGAGTTGTGTCCGTCGGACTCTGCTGTGCCTGCGGTGTCCGTTCGGTGTCCTTTGGTGTCCTGCGGTGTCCGTTCAGTGTCCGACTGTGTCCGTCCCGTGTCCGTGTCCGTGAGGTTTCCGGCGATGACTCGGCAGCGTGTCGCCGCCGGTGCCGCCGACTTCAAAGCGGCGGTCTGCTAATTTACCGTCCGCCCTGAGTGACGTGCCGACAAACAGGGTTCGATCCCACCGTCCCGCGGAGGGGGGGGGGGGGAGCAGGGAGGGGTGTACTCAAACCTGGGTGGTCGGCGGTGCTCGGTCCATCCCTGCGTCCGGTCATTTGGCAGAGGTCTAGGGCAGGGATGGGTGGTACACTGATGTTTTGTGAAGACTGAGGGGTGTCAGGGAGTATGGGGAAAATACGATGTCCCTTTGATGAGGAGCGGGTGAGCGGTGCAGTCTCCTAGAAATGAGTTTGGAATGTCTAGGGAGGCAGAGTGCTGAAGTGTAGGTTCAGCAAGCTGATGAGGTGATCAGCCTAGTCCTGACTGATTCTGCTGTACGAAAGAGAGGAAAACGCTGTTTTTCATTGTTTCGTTCAATGAGTGGCTTACATTTCATTGGAAAACAATGGCGAAAAGTTTTGTTCTAATGTGCGGAAAGCTTCCTTGTGCTCACATTACTTCTTTGATTGTTTCAGGCTGGTGGTACATCAGTTCCTAAAGGAGTTTCATCTATTCCATGAACATGAAACGCCTGCTGCTTCTCGGACTTTCGATGTTGGTGGCCCGCAGCCAGGCACTATCACTAGGTAAGTACAAATATCGTAGCTTCGCTTGCAACTTATGCTTATCAATGGCATATTCAAGACGTATAGAAGATTCGATTTGCGTCACTTGTCTTGTGAGGTGAGCTTGATAACTTCTCGACACCACAGCTTCAATAAACCTCTGTGTAAATCCAGCAGAAAACCATGCTGCTCAGCCTACAATGGCCTTCTCGGGTCTCCGAAGCGTTCGGGCTACAGCGACGACTCCTTGGAACCGGTATCCGATATTGATCTACAAAAATGGGCACCGGGGATATTTGAGTCGTCCGCCCATGCGGCTGCCCAATTCATTATTGTCTGGACTGGAACGGGCTGTTCTGCAAATGTTGAATGGGGCCTGGCCACGCCAGGGCGACTAACTACCTCCGCCAATCCGGCGCACGGAAGAAAAATACGTTATACGAGCCATTTGCGCTGTATTTCGGCATTTGTTTCGGTTGACGTTTCCGGCAGTTTATGAGCTTTTTGACGATGTTATCGACACATTCCCGGGTTTATTTGCACACGCAATGAATGGACTTGTGCAATATTGCATTTTACATCAATAAGCCGTTATTTAGCATTCAGAAAAGTAGCTAATGAGAAGCTGTGGTCACTTTGCGGCAAACGATCATAATCATAATTGTCATATATTTGAAGGCGAACTTGTTATCGTCGTATAAGAATTAAAAGTGGCTATAATATATTTAATTTGCAATTTCTTATTGCAAATATAACATGATTTGATTTATATATTACATCGCTTCAGGTTCTTCTAATTTCCCTATGACCATGTATATTATTCACACTGCGTTGCAATGCTTTATTCGTTGTTCAATGTTCATGAATTGCTAGAACATTGCTCAGTTCAGGGCTACGGAGTCGGAGTCGGAGTCGGAGTCGGAGTCGGAGTCGGTCGGTGTCGACAGTTGTGACCGGAGTCGGAGTCGGAGTCGGAGTCGATTTTAGAAACCCGAGCCGGAGTCGGAGTCGGAGTCACCGAAAATCTGTCGACTCCGCAGCCCTGCTAGGTCTGCGGAGTCGGAGTCGGGAGTTGGAGTCGGTCGGAGTCGACAATTCTGCCCGGAGTCGGAGTCGGAGTCGGAGCTGGTTTTTGAAAGCCGGAGTCGGAGTCGGAGTCGGAGTCGCCGAAAATCCATCGACTCCGCAGCCCTGGCTCAGTTGGTACAAAATCAGGGATGTTCAACGTGGGCTAGTAAATGACAAAATCAAACAAAAAATTCGTTCAGCGCATTGCCGCTAGTAAATGCCTACTGCAGACTCAGCTAGCTGGATGTTCACTCATAGTTTCGCCCGACTGCCGGCCTTTTTACCAGTGTCCCTCTCTCCCCGTTTCCCCACAGACCAGTGCGACCAGGCGCTGGGGATGGAGTCGGGTGAGATTGCCGACAGCCAGCTCACAGTCAGCTCCTCGTTCAGCGACCACATTGTGGGCGCTCACAGCGCGCGCATCCGCACCGAGCACCGCGGTGGCGCCTGGTGTCCTCTGCAGGCCATCACCGATCAGGTGCACGAGTACCTGCAGATCGACCTGGGTCAGGTCACCGTCATCACCGCCGCAGAGACCCAGGGACGCTTCGGCAACGGCCGCGGCATGGAGTGGGCCGAGCGGTACGAGCTCGAGTACTGGCGGCCCGGCTGGGACGCTGAGACCGGCTGGAGGACCTACCGGAACGTCTCTGGACACACGCGGCTGGATGGGAACGTCAACTCCTACATGGCGGCCAAGACGCCGCTGGACCCGCCCCTGCTGGCGGCCAAGGTGCGGCTCGTGCCGAGGAGCTCGCACCCGAGGACCGTGTGCCTGCGAGCCGAGCTGTACGGATGTCGGTACACAGGTACGGAGTACGGGGTACGGTGGGGTACGGGTGCATACGGGACAGGATTGGAACAGGCCGGGAGGGGTGTACGTACATGTCAGCCAAGGTGCATACCTCATAAAGTGCACAGTAGCTCAGCTCTCTGCAGAGCTACTGAATACGTCACTGAGAGGTTTAAAGAGTGTTATGAGGCTGAGTCAGTTGCTCGAGGGCCGAGGCCTGGATAGGATGTGTTTGTCTCGTTCGAAATTGAGTTAGTTTGCACAATCATTTCCAACTGCAGTTGTGCCCATACGGTGCATGTTTGCTTTTCAATGGCTGTTTACGCTTGTGGATAGTTTGTCATTCTCACTAACTTTGATCGCACCGGTTGCTCAATTTAACGGTATCTTCTCGGTTGCAGCAGGCCATTTGTCTTTCCTTATTGCTCAACTACCGTCTCCGAGCGCCGTCGTTATTTAGTGGCAACTCTCAGCGGGCCATTTCTCAGTCATCAGCAGTCGTTTATCATCAGTCACATCGGTCATTCAGTCATCGACTAGTCGTGCCGTGGCTGAGGAGGGCCAGTCGTGACTCGTGATATGGCGTAACTCGTGACTCGTGATGCTGCTCGTGGCGTGACGCGTGACTAGTGGGCAGACGTGACGTGACCACTACATGTTTGGAGCTCCCGGCTGGGTGGAGTATCCTGGATACAGGGTGCTGCAGTCAATGCTTACACCATTAGCATTCTTCCATGCATTACCCCGAAACCCTCCAGACCCGGTATTATACCCTCTCTGGTGGCGCTGTGGGTGCGGCCCGCTCTGCGCCCGTGACCCGACCACACGCACCGGGTCACATATGAGACACGGCACCCCCTGTACGGGGCGCGGGGTGTTCACAATGGGTGTTCGGCCGCATCAGACAGGCGCCGCCGTTGAAGTCGGCGGTGATGACCGTCATTATCTGACGATTAGCGCCGTGGTTTACGGTATAGACGGGCCGAAACGAGCGGCGACCGTCCTCGGAGTAAGTGATTGCCGCTCGTTTGCAGACGGCCTGGTGAGCTACAGTATGGAGCCGCCGGACCCGAGCCGACCTGACCTGACCTATGACGGCACCGGGTCAGCAGAGGTCATGGAGGGCGGCCTCGGTCAGCTGACGGACGGCCGCGACGGAGGCAACGATATAACACGTGAGCAGAACACCGCCGATACATCAGCGCGCGCATGCAAGGATGCATGGTATGCTGGGCGTGGGCAGTGCTTGCGTGGGCTTACGTAGTTAATATAATGCAACTTACACATAAATTATGCAAAGTGTTTGTCTGAAGAGTACCTACTACCTAAGTTACCGGTTTCAAAATAAGTTCCACTTGTCAGACTGTATCTTAATTCAGGTTTGCTTGGCCTGTTTGACTGCCACCAATCCCAAATGATCTCACATGTCATAAGTGATCCATGTTCAGCTGCCGTAATTTTTGTTTGAGCGGTGATTGGAGATGGTTTGGAACTTACATACTATCATGGGCCTGCACGATAATAAATTGTATTTTATCGATTATTGATGATGAAATCATTTGTTATAGTCACTTCAAATCTGTTTGCCTTTGATGGCGATCTAAATTGTAACTTGATGCAAAATAGATGACTCGCGAAAAATTGACGGTCCCTGCTTGAATAACAAATAAACAAAACCTGTTTTGCTGCAATTCAAATCAATATGCTGTTTTACCTAGGCGAACTTCGGAATTTTGTCGTCTTACGGTGCATTTACCTCCCGCTGAAGCCCATTTTTCTGTGAAATCGAAAAGGGATTTAAAGTGATGCTCCAATGCAGATGATCGGCTGCGCCGAACCCAATGATCGGAATTGGGAATCAGAGTTTTGTTTGTACAGGCAGTGGAGTGAAAGACGGCTCCGCGTATTTGATTTTTAGTCTGAGTGTTGACGTGTTCGTCGGGAGAATCAATAGGAGGAAGAATGTCATTTCCACAACACTTTATGCATAAACGTTTTTGTTTTTCATATTTGCTTTTTGCTAAACATGTTTAACCCTCGCCGGACCTATTGGTTTTCTACATACGCGCCGGCCGAGAGGGGGGGGGGCGGGTACGACCCCCCTCGCCGTTTCGCCCCTGGTGGAGCTAGCGCGTCGCGGAAAAAACGAGCGTGTGCGCCGTTACGAGACGCAGAGATTGGTACCCGATTTTAAGGTCCTAGGTCAACCGGTGACCTCTGAGGTCAGGTCAAGTGCCCCAGGGTACGGTTCAGTTTTTGGTGAATAACTTCGCAAAAAACGGCCACAGAGCCGCGATTTTGGCAGCATCGTGTTCGCCTCGCTCGGGCGCGTCGAATGACATACTTTTTGTTCGGGTCAGGTCAACTTAGGGTGTTGACCTCAGGTCAAGGTCAGGACCAGGGTTGTATACCAATCAAGTCGATTGAATTGATTGATTTGATTCAACGCGTATTTTGAGTTGATTGGATTGAGTCGATTGACTTTTCGAGATGACTGGTTGACTGACTCGTTTGACTTTAGCGACTGGTTGACTGATTTGATTCCTGAAAATTAGAGTGACTCGTATGATTGAGTCGATTGAATGGAAAGTTCAGATAAGCTTTAGTTGACGAAAAATAATGACACCAATTGATGACATCAAAGATCACAAAACTACATTGAAAACTGCTTGTCATCACAACTGCAATATGGGGTAGATGGCCAAATAAAGAACAGGCCTAACCAAAGTAAACATGAACAGCCAACTTTGACTATCAACTGCAATAACTGCTCCAATCCTGTGATAGAACCTGGCGATGCACCTACCTACCTTTCTGCACTCAGCAGGAAACTTTTTTTTTTAATCCAGATGATAAAGTGCAAGGCCCTATATACTAATCAAGTGTGATTAATTAATAATTCACATCTCCACATCTCCTCAGAAACAACCCACTGAACTCTATAAATATCTGAAACCCCTACAAAAATAACTGAAACAAAAGCGCCGTTTTTGTCTCGCTAATTACGTTTACGTAAATTAATAGCTAATTTGCTGCATTGTTTAATTTGCGGCAGAACGTTTGTTGATCCTTTTCTCCTGAGAGCCTAAGCATAACATACTTAATATATTTCATTTTCCTTAAAATAATTTACCGAATATAACATATTAAGTGGTTTTATTTCAAATGAAATAATAATTAAAACGAAATTGGTGCTGTACAACCGATTTATTTTATGATGATCTACCATACTACATGATAATCAATGACGTCATCTTCCCAAAAAATCAAAAGACGTAGAATAAGGATTTATAAAAGCTTAGCATACTTATCGGCAAAACGTTTTCTTTGTTTTTTCGCAGTCGCACCGTGCCGTTTTCGCGGACGCCGGTGAAAGCAGGGCGCCGCAGGGCATATCAGTCACGTGATATTTGGAACTGCTCCCCCTCCATGGGCCTCCTACATCCCAAACGTCACGTGTAAATTTCACGAACCTTGATCAAATTGCCCCAGGCGCCCTGTTTTCACCGTCGTCCGTTTTCGCTTTTTAATTTTCCTTTTCCTACTTCCTTTGTCCTTAACTTATCCTGTGGTTCCAGAGTCCCTGTCCTTTCCATTTCCTTTTAAATATATTTTTAATGCTCATCCCTATCCCCCAGTCCTAACAGTTTCAAATTGTATTGCAATAAAATGTTTTGAATTTTTCACATATAACCTATCTACCTTCGTTGGTACTGTTGGTAGCCAGTGACACATCTAGGCAGGTAAGTAGGTACCTATCCTGCTGTCTTCATAGCGCATACCTAATGAAGTTGTCAAATTTATAGCACATTTTCAACACTTTCATATGGTGTCAGTGTGGCATGAAACCTAGCTAGGTTCATTAAGTTCAGGGTTCAATTCAGAAGAGCTCCGCATAACTCAAATAAGAGACAGACGGGGGCTTTACATGGGGTAGATGGCCTGATGACTTAGCTGGAATATGGCCAAAATTAAATTGACAACTTTTAGGTGAAAGGTGGTGATTTGGGTTAAGGGGTGTTTGTTGAAGTCAACTACTGGGTTATTTTGCACCCATTAAATGAAACTTCTGCTTCAATTCTACCCATTGAACCCAATATCATGATCCACCTGTCCATCACTAGGTATCCTTCCTTATTACATAGAAACTTTGAATGGCATGGCAATTAATAATTTTAAATGACAATATTTTTATGTTTCTTCTGTAGGTAGGTAGGTAGGTACACCAGACTGCTTTGGACACTTTTCCAAGTTGGTGGGGCAAAAAAACCTAATGTATATCTTGGTTTGAGTCGTTTGATTGAGTTGATTGATTCCTTTCATTGTCGCGTTTGAGTCGATTGAATCAATTCCCGAAAACTGCTCTGACTTGATTGATTTGATTGGTTTCCCAAATTTGTCGTGATTGAATTGATTGCTTTTGATTGAGTCGTATACAACCCTGGTCAGGACAGCACCCCCAGGTCACGAAGTTGGTCGAAAGAGGTCATGTCGCATATCATTCGATTTGGCAGGTCTTCCTGAGTCCATTGGTGGCTTTCTCGACTCGCTAGCTCAATTTGATCGGGAGTTATTGACGAAAAACTAATATGACCTTGATGACGTCATAAATGTCGTCACGGAAGGTCAACATTGCAAAAGTGACGCATCTAACCTTGCAAGGAGTGCATCAAATCACGATTCTGTGTGCTTGAGATAGTTGGAGATCGTTCCCGGCGCCAGAATAGCAGTTTTCATTTTTCCCCATTGACTTATAATGGTGAGGTCACGAAAATGACCTGACCTCATATGAACTTTAGGAAAAATCTGAGATATACAAGTTGTGAGACTCATAATGGATACTAGATCCTGCAAGTTTCATTTCCCTGTGACATCTCCTCTGGCAGTGAGGGCGTTGCGAAGTTGCGACATCTGAAGACCGTGCAGAGGTTCACTTATGACGTCATAGGTCAGTGACCTGACCTGACCCAAAAATGCGGTTGGTGTCAAAAGATGCGGCTTGGATCAAAGGTCAGGTATGCCAAGTTTCAGCTCTCTATCGCCAGCGTGTTCGGAGCTATCGCGAAAAAAAACCCTATGGGGGGGGGCGGCAACCGCCCCACCCCCTCGGCCGGCGAGGGTTGAGAAGTTTTGAAACATGCTTTCTGAGGACAAAATGGAAAAATATCCCAAAAATGATGCACCTATAGGTATTTCATTTTTTCTGTAGCACAACAGGTGTTTTAATAATACCTTCTCCTACTGTAATATGAAATGTTCCGCACTGCCAGAAAGTAAACTAGTTTGACATTGCCGATATCATCGGTGGCTTTGTAAACACAAACATATTTCTTTGTAAACAGTAGCGGATGACCAGGACATCGCAGACCTGAGTTTGATTGTTGCGCATTGCCACGGATTCTCCAAAAGGGCGAAACGGCTGAGCGATACCTAAACATAATTGGGGAACGAAGAATTACAGACCGCTTGGAGTTAATCATTTCAAAGTAACATAACGCTCACAGACGTGCGTGCTGGAAAACAGGAAGATCAATAGAGGAGAAGTATTTTTCGTCCCACGATAGTCTACTCCATCAGCTCAACATAGGATGTGCATGGTATCCGATATAACTTTGAGTAAGCAATAATATATTCACGGCTACATCCCTCTTCGTTAAAGGAAATAGTTCACTTTTAACATGGGGTTTTGAGCTGGAATAGCAGTTTCGTAGCTTGAGCTGAGACTAGCACAAATCAGGAGCTTTTACGGCTCAACGATCACCCTAGACGAAGATATTCCATTTCTCATTCCGAAAAGAGTGCCTTGTAGAGGAATGCGTGCCTTGCACAGGAACATAGACCCGGGAACAGGGGGGGGGGGGCAGCGGGGGCGCTTGCCCCCCCCCCCCAACTTGGGAGCCGAGGGGGCGGCGCCCCCTCAACATTGAGGCAGCGAGAAAAGGTCTTTCCTCCCTTTTCCGGACTTCTTTCCTTCTTGTTTCCCTTATACATCTAAACATCAACACACGGCATTTTCCTTGCCATCTGAATGGTTTCTGCTGATACAGTATCGATTTGACAACATCTGCTATTGTCATCCCGCTTTGATTTGGGCCTGACCTTGGCCATAAGCTTGGCAGTCCAGTTGTAAACTGGACCATTTTGAGTCAACTCTGAGAAATGCATAACGTGCAACGGTGGTAAAATCGTTGCTATAGGTATAACACAGTTTACCCGCTCCGGGTGTGAGGGAGGGGTGTGGGGCAATGAGTGCACTGACGTGGCGCCCTCGGTATGGGATGGAATGCATGGGATACATTAGAGGGCCGGTATGGGATTAAAGCTCAGCGACACTAAGGGCTTATGTGGCGCCTTCGGTTATCGGTAGCACCCTCAGAACCACCGGCGTATAGGGCCCTCAGAGCCGCCGGTAAGGGGCCTTTAGAGGCACCGGTTTGGGGCCGTCATGCAGGTGACGGTGTGGGCGCACAGAGGTGCTAGGGTGATTCTCTCAGAGGCGCCGGTGAGGGTCCTTACAGGCGTTGCTGTGGGCCCTCATAGACGCTGGTGTGGAGCCGTTACAGACAAGTGTGGGGGCTTTAGAGCTGCTGACGCGAACTCTCTACAAGCCGGCAGGGGGTCTCAGTGACCGGCAAGGGGTCCTTCTTAGGCCGGCAGGAGAAGTCCTGTGGGGTCCTTAGAGACCGGCATGGTACTGTCAGACGCCGGTGGGGCCCTCAGACTCACCGGTGTGGGACCCTCAAAAGTCACCAGTGGGCGGCTTTTAGATGCGCAGGTGTTGGTTGGGTCCTCAGAGCCGCCGATACAGGGCTTAATTTTAATAGGCACTGGTGTAGGCACTCAGAGTTGGGGGTGTGAAACCCTCAGAGACACCGGTGTGGGCCCTCATAGGCGCCGATGAGGGCCCCATAGTTGCCGTTATGGGGCCCTCAGAAAAATAAGTGTGGGACCATCACAGGCGGGAAATGCCCCTAGAACTGGCCCCTCATAGGCCGGTAAGGACTCTCAGAGGCCAGTAACGGGCCAATTTGGAGACCACCGAGGTGCCCTGAAAAGGCGCAAGAGGCCCTCAGAAGCCGGCGTGGGGCCCTTATGGAGACCTTAGTGTGGCTATTTAGGGCCCATGAGGTGCTCTAACGAGCCCCATGGGGCGGCCAGCGGTTTGACGTTCAGCGGTCAAATGGCGCCGCTGGGCCCCTCGGACCCGAGGGTCCCTTTGAACCCGATGGGGGGGGGGGGGGGTACGTGTCCCCTTAGACCCCTAGCTACGCCACTGTTTCATATGCATCATGTCAGGTATTTTAGGCTCGCCCCCCCCCCCCCAACTTGAAAATCGTTCCCGGGCCCCTGCACAGGAATGCAGCCACGTCATCGTCAGCCAATCAGCGTGCTGCTTACAGCCAATGCAGTATGCGTAGGTTTGAGCTACGCAAGATGATTGGTCAATGCGTAATAAGCTTCCGCGTCAAACATTATTTTACATAGAATATAGTTTGTCCTATATTAAAATATAGAAAATAATTGTTCTTACAAAAAGGTTTTATTTTATTTCATGATTATTTTGAGCATAAAAAATCATAAATCAATAGCAAAATACTGATTTCAGGAAAGTGGACTGTTTCCTTTAATTCCCCATAACCAAAGTCAGTACCAAGATACCTATAAGAAACAGGTAGATCCGATGTTTGAAAGTAAAGCCCCAGTCACAAATTTGACGCACCTGTGACATTTCCTGACACCCACGTGACTATTGTATTAACTTTTGTGTTTTGCAATGTTTTGACCTTATTTAAAGTACTGAAAGCTCAAAATGTATGATAAATGTTGTTTAAAGCAGCATATTAATAATTATGTTTGTAAATTATCGATAAGCTGCTTATAGCAGGTCACGTGATTGCTACCAGATTATGTGCTCAGAAAGCATCTTTTCAACTTCGATTTTGAACAATTTTTACCTCCTTTGAGGCCAAATGATGGACGGTTTGAGGCACACGATGAAATGTTGAATCTATTGATGCCAAAATTTGTTCGTTTTTTGCATTTTTAGACTAGTATATCCTGGCTCAAACTTTGACCAGTTTGTGTGTGAAACCTATGGTGAAGGGAAAACTTCACGCCCAGCAGGCGTCATTACAGTGCTGCCAAATCGTGTTTGGTGGGGGTCGGTCAGTACCTCCCGACTGCAGAGCCGCTGACAAAGCACCTGCTCTCTCCCCTTCCTTCCTTCCTCTTCAGGACCGGAATGGGTCGGCTGGAAGAGGAGACCCGGAGAAAAGGTGACACTGACGTTCCAGTTCGACTCGGTCCGAGAGATGGAGTCGGCGTCATTCCACGTCAGTAACCACTTCACCAGCGGAATCAGGGTACGTCAGAGCGTCAGATCGTCATGAGTCATAGGTCGGAGTTGCCAACCTCCATCAGAAGACGCATGCAAAGATGAGACGATATGTCATGACATGGGCTGCTTAGCCACACGAAACCTGATAAGATCATTCAATTACCTTGAAAGTCGGTCACAATTTTTCACTAGCACGATTTGGTTTCATCAATAAGCGCCACGACTTCAATCAGTCACTGATGGCAAACAACGCTAACTGGCACGACTAGCTCTAATACGACTTGGTGCATGACTATGACATGTCTTGGTTGATACCATCGCGAACACCGGTACAGTACACAGACCGATTGAACGCATCTGTTGACCGTATCTCTGTCGTCTGTCCGCAGATGTTCGAAAGCGCCGCGCTGTTCTTCTCTGTGGACGGCTCAGAGTTCACCAGCGCTCCGGTGACCTTGACCCCGCCAGCTGATCGCATTTTCGAGGACGCGCGCCGCCTGGAGATGCGGCTGTACCGGCAGGTCGGCCGCGTGGTACGGCTGGAGCTGACCACCGCCGCCAGCTGGCTGCTCATCTCCGAGATCAGCTTCGACAGCGGTGAGTCAGCGCGGGCAGGGAGTTGACGAGTTTTTAGTCAGTGCAGAACGAAACTGGTAAGTTTGGGAGTTTGATCGGTAGTTCATGAGTTTGCAGTTTGACGCTGTTCAGTAGACGGCACGCGCGGCCACTCGTGAATTTCGATTCGTTGTTGATAATGCATACTCGTAAGGGCTGTTGCATTCACTGCAATTGGACTGTTGTGTGCTATTTCTCTTGAAAAAAGTGAAAGCTGCAAAAGCCGGAATCCCAGCAAACAATGTTGCAAAAGGACAAATGTTTCGTGATTCGCTTGGAGCTAGTCAAGGCTACATCAATAATTTTCCATTGAAAACCGAAGTAAGCAGTCAATGAAAAGATGACCTTCATTTGACGGGGTTCACTGTGTGTTTTCGCCTCCAGCTCCGTCATCTCACAATGTGACCGGGCTGACGACGGTCGACGAGTCCGCCCCGCCAGTCGACTCCGACTCCGACTCTATCTCCGACTCCGCCGACTCTGCCGATTCCGCCGCCGAGCAGCCTGCTGTTGACCCGGGCTTCAGCGCGCCCTCAGAAGGTGCCGGCGAGTCTGCGGGCGGCGCGGAGGACGCTGTCGACAGCCCGTCGTCGCTGACTGTGCTGCTGGTGGTTCTTGGAGTCCTGCTGGTGCTGCTGCCCTCGGCGCTGGTCGGCTACGTCCTGCTGCTGGGCCGGCGGCGGCGGGTGGCCGGCGGGGCGGCCGCCGCGGCCCGGCCGCTGCCACTGCCCCTGGCGCGCAACATCAAGGAGCTGCGTCTGAGTATGCAGCTGACGCCTCGCCACGGCTACTCGCGACCTCCCGACTCTGGCGAGGAGGACAAACTGGACCTGGCCGCGGCCGCCGAGCGGTACCGCGTGGTGCGGCTCAACTCCGAGTACAACACGCCCGGACACGGACGGACCGAGGAACCCGCAGGTACGGCACGCAACCGCAGAGTCGGTGGCTGAGCGCCATGCAAACGTTAGCCAAGTATACCCGTTCAAGATTTACGCATTAAGCATATTCGTCTGTCAGATGTTTTTCCATAACGATATCGTTCTATGACACAGTAACGTGGTCTTTGAGGTTATGCATTCTTGGAAGAACAACATTTTTTTGACAATTTCAAAGGTTTTACGTCATGTTTGTTATCCTATTCTTGTGCCAGTTTTCTTTCGACGCCACTGTGCCTCTCTTCTCCCCCACTGACGTGCCGCCTTCCCTTGCAGAGACCACCTACGACTACGCAGTGCCGGTGCTCACGCCAGCGGGTCCGGCGGCCGGCTCGGAGGGCAGCCGCTCCTGGGACAACCCCAACTACCGTCAGTCGCCGCACAACACCACCCACTCGAGCAGCCAGCCATCCGTGTGCAGCATCAGCGAGCTGCTGCCGTCGCCGCCGCCGCTGCCGCCGCCGCCGCCTCAGCCGCCCGCGTCGACCGGCTGGCGGTCGGCGGCGCAGCGTCGACCGGCCCTCCTCGCCGGCTCTGTACAGGGTGTGACCGGTACCTGTGTCTGGGACGCCAGCCGAGAGGGGCTGCGGGAGGACCATCAGGCCCGGCTGGCGGTGGCTGAGGTGGACGAACACGATATTCAGCTGGGAGAGAGGATCGGTCAGGGACAGTACGGTCAGGTGAGTAGCCGTGGTGAGCGAGCTCATCACCGAGAAAGCAGTGCATGTGTGAGCGGTATTTGACATTACCAAATGCGAAGCAAGTAACTAATGTAGCGAAGTTAAATTGAGGCAAAGAAAATGAGAAAATGTGTGACAATAACAGCAATTTTGGTGCCGGGCACAGCGAAACAAAAGAATACCTCCGCAGGGTCCTGAATGTAGTCCTCTTCCTGCGTCCCCAGATTCGTCTGTGCGAGTTGCAGTGCCGCTCCCCGCTGGACGCCCTGTACCCGGGCTCTCGGCGGCTGGCGACGGCCCGCAGTCTGCGCCGCTGGGCGCCCGCGGACGCCGCCGCCCGGCTCCGTCAGGAGGCCGAGCCTCTGTGCAGGGTCACCGATTGTCACGTCACCCGTCTGCTGGGTCTGTGCACCCTGGACGAGGCTCCGGGGCTGCTGGTGGAGCACCTGGAGCACGGTGATCTCAATGAGTTCCTGCGTAGAGCGCACCATGATGGCGCCAGGGGCGAGGGACAGCTTGGGTGAGTGCGCCTGGCGCGAGGAACCGATGGGGTTAGCGATTTGAGGATCACGCTTCTGGCCGCTGATCCGCGCCGGAGATTTGGGATGGGTGGGGCTCAAACGCAGAGCTCGCATGCATGATTTGGTCGTAACCGGTTCTATGATGAATTAATTTGTTCGCTGCTCTGTAAGGTTCCGTGTTGCTGTGAAAATTAACATAAGATTGCTGATTTGCGTGTTTGCGGTTATACCTTTTCATACCTAAATTTGGTCCGCCTCTATGTTATACGTCAATGAAGCATTTCATGATAAACTCAACGACTTTATAAACGATTTTGCCCTAAAATATGCTTGAACTTATTATGTCTAACCTTGTCTTGACTTCCGCAGACTGGACTCGCTGGTCTACATCGCCTCTCAAATCGCCGCCGGTATGGAACATCTCGAATCTCTGGGCATCGTTCACGGTGACCTGGCGGCGCGGAACTGTCTGGTCGGCCGCCAGCTGGAGGTCAAAGTCGGTGACCTGGGGCCGAGCCGAAAGCAGTACGACAGCGACTACTTCTCCCTGCCGGACGGCCGAGTCCTGCCGCTGCGCTGGCGGCCGCCCGAGGCGCTCTTCACGGTGAGGAACTGATGATTCTCTTGGAGGACACCTCCTTGTAATGATCTTCTGGAGAAGCGTCCTTGCCGAACGAAAGTCCCTATCAGGGTGATCTTCTTTCCATTTTCGTCGTAAGCCAAGGACCAGACTTACTAGTTATTTCTTCTTATAGCGATTAACTCCACTTCCATCTGTTTCCAGGATGAACTGAGCTCGGCCTCGGACGTGTGGTCGTTCGCGGTGACGCTGTGGGAGGTTCTGACCTGGTGCCGGCTCCAGCCGCTGGCCCACCTCACCGACTCGGCGGTCATCGAGCGACTGGCCGGCTACCGCTCCAGCTACGGCGAGCCGCACCTGCAGCAGCCGCACGCCTGTCCTGCGCTCCTCTACCGGCTGCTGTTGCAGTGCTGGAGGCTGCAACCGGCACAGCGGCCCTCGTTCGCAGAGGTCGGCTCCCTCTTCCGCGAGACGGGCGGGGGCTGGGAGATGAACGAGTCTGCAGAACTGTGACTGCGTGCGGCGGGAGGGGTTAGGCAGCAATGAAGGCGTCTCGGAGGAGCCCGGCTGGATGGAGGAGGTCTGCTTGCAGGGATCTCGCTGGATATGTGTCCCTTTCCTAGAAAGCCTTGTCTTCCAACATCTGTCATATCACTGGACATATTTCAACACTCACATATCTCATGTGCACTGCAGCGAATATTTGAAGTGGTGCGACTGATGTTTATGTAGCTCTCATAAAAGCGTGTCTCATTTCACCTTACCCATGGTTGTGAAGTCGATGTGAGCTATTTAGCTGCATATTTTGCATCTGTACATACATGTGTGACGTATGTACTACAGCAGACCCGCTTTAGGTACCCTGCTTCCCATTCTTTACCCAACTCATGAACCTGTATGTCCTTGCAACCGTATTGTGTAAATTGTAAATGTACCTTCATGATCATTGTATAATGTTTAAGATGTCGCTATATGTTTCTTGTATACCACTGCCAACTAGGCAGTCCAGTCTTAACGAAAATGACACGACTGAACAAACGCGGTGTAAATGCATATTCGAAATATACTTCCTCTATACATACGCGCATTTCATTTATGTTTGGATGATATAGAGCTACCAATTTCATTGCGCACAAAATGTGCCTCCGTACGCTGGCACAGCGAACATTGTTTCAAAATTGCTCCAATGGACCTTAAACAGTAGCTAATGGATATAGCTCGTATACCTATACTGCCAGTCTTGCACGATATACGACCCCTCAGTCTCCGATAGCGAACCAAGCCACACTCAATGGTGCTTCATAAAGCAGTAAGCACAGAACATCCAGACCACAGGCATGGAACATGTGAACGTATGTATGTACATACAGTTAGGTTCGTGAACCATGCTCGGTTTATATCGTAAACATATTTGGATTTATCCATATTTTCGCCCCGTAACGGCATTTTAGTGATGGCAACTTTTTCCGATGATTTTATTTAATGCATCAATGCACCGTTTTACCCATAAAATCACATTAGTATTCACTTAAAACGCATTTAGATCTCAACAAGAGGGAAATAGATTTTGTTTCAAGCTACATCGCATAGGAAAATAAAATATCGCACATGCTGAATTGCATAAAAACGGTTAACCAGAATGCTCAAAACAACGGCAAAGCAATATCTTCGATTAATTAAAGTTGGGTTTTTCCTGGCGGTCAGCTATTTCACGAGAAGAGCATCTATGTATGTCTTTTTCTCACCTCGACGGCTACCTACCCGCACCGAGGTGTCTTGGTCCCGGTATATTCGGCGTACCTCGATCTGTGACCGTTTCCGGCTGTTCGGATTACTCCTCTGATCTATTGCTCCAAATGGGAGTCCGCAGCCAGCGGGCCTGACTCACCGGTCCGCAGCCTGAGCCGTGACTCACTGAGCAGCGGCGCCGGGCCCGTGTCACGTCCCGTCTTCACGCCGACACGGTCTCACCGCCTCCTTTTAGGGCACAAACAGCGGATAATCCGACACACAAAAACGGGACCTGAATCTAAAGAAACGGTAAACGGATTAGGCGCGCCGGGAGCAGTTCACCCTGCGGAGCTACGCCCATTGAGTTCTGATTGAAAATGGACTGAATAGGGCACGGAAAGGCGCATTGAAAGCATCCATTTTATCGAAATCAAATGAATAAAGCCGACATTGACAAAGGGAATATGGCTTGGCCGAGTCCCCGCCTCAGGCACGCGCTGTTTGGTGAATGCCGACCTTACCGAGCAAAACCGTGGGGGACTGGGGGAGGAGAGGACCATGCCGACGAAAACATCTTGGTCGGTCGCAGCTGGGGCTTTTGCTACAACTGGAACAAAACGTCCGTCGGCGGTCCGATGGCTACCGCGTATCTGGGACTCAGCCAGATGACGGTAAAGTCTCTGCGCCCGTGACGGTGCAGTCTCTGCCTATGGCAACCGCCTCTCTGAGACTCAGCCAGCTGACGGTGGAGTCTCTGCGCCCGTGACGGTGGAGTCTCTGCCTATGGCAACCGTCTCTCTGGGACTCAGCGGGCTGACGGTGGAGTCTCTGCGCCCGTGACGCGGTGGAGTCTCTGCGCCCGTGACGGTGCAGTCTCTGCGCCCGTGACGGTGGAGTCTCTGCCTATGGCTACCACCTCTCGAGACTCAGCAGGCTGACGGTAGAGTCTCTGCGCCCGTGACGGTGGAGTCTCTGCCTACATATGGCTACCGCCTCCCTGAGACTCAGCGGGCTGACCGATAGAGTCTCTGCGTCCGTCTCAGTCGCGGATCTCATACCATCGCTCTTGGTCCCTGGTCCAGGCTCTAGCCGGCCTTCTCTAGTCTGACTCGAAGAAAATATTATCCCATGCATGTCAATTGTCTAGTTATGAAGCTACATTGTGGAAAACAGTCCGCTAGTTATTGGTGAATGAATACTGTGCGACCGTTGACTGGTGCGACCGTGCGGAGGCGGTGCGAGCGACTTAAGCGAGTGTCATTCGAGCGAACGTCATTTGAGCGAACCATTTTCAGCGAATGGCAATTCAGCGATTATCAAGTTAAGCGATTATCAAATATAACGATGATCAATTTGCTTCAAGCATTTTTTTTTTTTACTTTTGCCAGCGCATACGTATAATAGTAAAATAACCTTGCGCACGAATGTTTTCGGAGTTTCTCATGGTTATCCGGAACTGGGTGGCGGATATCACGTTCTAAGTCAGACATTGAGTTCCAAATTTAATGCTACATTTCTAAAAAAAATTCAACGGTTCAATTTCACTCCCCTGCTCTTTGCCAATCATGGTGACCAAACATTTGTTCAGAGATTCATATCGCTTGCGCTGTTTTTCACGAAATTCCCCCGCTTGAATTTGGATTAGTTCCCATGTTGTAAATTTTGTTCTTGCCCCAAGCACCGTACAAATTTCCAGGTATTTGGGTGAGGTGCCTGAAACATAGACTGGATTTCCCTGTGCCATCTCTCGAGTTTATTATTGGTCCTTGGCATTCCTTCCGTCGTCCTATCTCTCACATTCCACATTTTTAATTCAAATTTTGTCCGCCTCCTTCCCCTCCCACCCCTTGTTGGTCGTCCGATGTATGTGTCTTCAAATGATGCGTAAAGTGGTGCAATAATTTTCAAATTACTTTGTTCCCGAAGTTCATCCAGCTGCTCAAAACTATTGACCACCAAATTGACCACGCCTTGATTGACCACAAGCTGAGAAGGAAGAAATGCCGGAAAGCCAAGGACTTAAAAGCAAATTTATATTTTGCCGCGTGCAGCTTGAAGCATGACACCTACCAAACGGGTATTCCAAGGGCAAGAATTTCCGAGAAGTAGCAAATGATTGACTTTTGTCGCGTTCGGTTTCGCTGTAACTGCATCGCTCAACTGGTCTCCCATTGACCACCATAAGTACTCGCTCAATCTGGTTTCGCTGATTCTGGTCCTCGCCAAAGTTGATAATCGCTGTGATTGAATTCACGGACTTGACAATCGCTGAAAAGGTCAATCGCTTAAATTGATAATCGCTGAAAATGTTTCGCTCAAATGTCGTTCGCTGAAATGACGCTCGCTCAGGTGTCGCAGAACCTGCGGAGGTGTCGTCCAAAGAACATACATCCATATTCCATACACACTTCTGAACTTATCCACACATTTGTTGCTTTATTCGTGTCGTGGTCCAATTATCAGCCAAATATCTGCTAACTTCAAGAGTATATATCTAGTTTTGAAAAAAAGTTTGTTGTTGTTCTTGTTTTATATTTTCCTTGTAAATGAAAATGTTTTTAGCATTACGCTAAAATATTTTATATCCCACCATTTATTTTCTAAATAGCGCGTGTGACCAATGTTTCGGATCTCGCCTCGACTAAAATTAATCCAGGGATTTAATGCTACATTTGAGGCGAAGGCAGCCGAGCGAGAGATTAGTAGGGAGGGAGATGGGGGAGCCGGGGAGGACCCAGACACTGCAGCTGCCGCACCCGAGGCCTGTTAGTAATTGGAGAGATCACATTTTCCTTCAATATGACGGCCCTGTGGTTAACATGCTAGAACCGAGATTCTTGGTTGGAACCGTATTCGTATCATAAATAATAAATATGTGCCTCAAGCTTATCTGACGCCTTTGTCATATTCCAGTTTCTGTGCTTACGAGCATTTTAAATTGTTATTATACGCTGCATTTTTTTTTCTTCCCACTAGCCCATTATGCAATACCGTAATAACTCGTTCAAACTTCAGAACTGTACTTTAATTTGTGACATTTTGAGTGTTCAGCGCAGCAACTTCGCAACAAGTACGAGCACAGCGGTCCAAACAACATAACTGCTTGGTGCATATTAGCCGTTGCCTGAAGCAAGCTCAGTGGCGTGGGAACGGTGCCACGCAGTTTCAGAACTTCATTACATCAGCACGAAAGTGGCGTTCCAAACTAAGCTCAGACTGGTAGCAGCTCTGAAAGCTTAGTGTAAGTACAACAGGCAACAGCCCAGCTCACCAGCAGCTTTGAAAACTCACTGCAGATCAGTGCAACAGCAGCTCCCAGACTTGCTGAAGCCCAGCCAGCCGCCAGGCATGCGCAGCAGCTTTACAAACTATCGTCCACCTTTTCGTCCGTCCATTTCAAACCTTTCCGCAGCGGTCACTGGCCATTGCGCTGGAGCGACTGAGCCGGGCTTTTTCATCGACACGGTAATGAAAACTGGCGCCACAGCGAGAGTGGCGAGTAATGGAGAGTGTCGACGATCGCGGCGCACTCGGTATTGATTTGGCGCTCCGGAGACAGGTGCGGCGCAGCGCGGCGGACGGCGCGCGCCCGGGCCCTCTCCGCTCGGTCACGGAAGGGAGAGGAAGGGGAGAGACGGAGAGAGGAGGAGAGGGGAGGAGAGAGGACCCAGAGGACGGCGGAGCGTGGCGCGATAGCGTGCCCAGAGGTAATGGAATGTCGGCAGGGAGGGCGGACTGTGGGATGAGGTCGATTGAGTGGGATGACGAGAAGTGAGGTGATGTGATGTGATGTGACGTGGGATGACGCGAGGTGATGTGGGATGGTTACGTGGTGTGACATAAAGTGCTGATGCGTGCTGATGCTAGGATGATATTGTCATAACATGACACTTTCCATTTTGTACTGCATACAGAATACAGATTACAGTTTCTCCTGAGTAAATGTGCACAAAAATAGGCCTTAGGTACCTGCAGCACTTCAGTTGTTCATTTGTTGACTGCAAATAGAAATTGCATAATTTACAACTTGAAACTGTTGAAGTTTTTAAATCGATGTACTTTTTAATAATTTAGCGTAGTACAAAAATGTTTAGATATTCGTTTAGGAAACTCTATGGCTGTCAGAAAAGATCATTATAGCGGCAATAACAGATCTGCATGGGGTAAATTTAACCTTTTAACCCGCGCCCTGGTGGGGTCTGTTTATAACGCGACCTGGTGGGGGGGGGGGGCTATTTTTGCCCCCCCCCCCCTCGTATCTCCGAAACTACTGGACGGATCCGCAAAATTCAAACGGCGTTCGAAAGGCCTGTCAAATTTGTCGAAGGAAACCAAATTTTATTGAC